TACAGTCTACATGTACAGCATATATGTACAGTCTACATGTACAGCATACATGTACAGCATACATGTACAGTCTACATGTACAGCATATATGTACAGTCTACATGTACAGCTACATGTACAGCATATATGTACAGTCTACATGTACAGCATACATGTACAGCATACATGTACATGTACAGCATACATGTTCAGTCTACATGTACAGTCTACATGTACAGCATACATGTACAGTCTACATGTACAGCATATATGTACAGTCTACATGTACAGTCTACATGTACAGCATACATGTACAGCATACATGTACAGTCTACATGTACAGCATATATATGTACAGTCTACATGTTACATGTACAGCATACATGTACAGCATACATGTACAGCATACATGTACAGTCTACATATACAGCATACATGTACAGTCTACATGTACAGTCTACATGTACAGTCTACATGTACAGCATACATGTACAGCATACATGTACAGCATACATGTACAGCATACATGTACAGTCTACATGTACAGTCTACATGTACAGTCTACATGTACAGCATACATGTACAGCATACATGTACAGTCTACATTGTCACTGCCAGAACACTGTCACTGCCAGAACTGAGAGATTTAAAAACAGTGCAATACCGCATATCGTGCGACTACTGAATGGGGACTGAGATTGCCATTTTATTGTCCAAAGACTTTTAACGCAACCTGTGTGCAAATCTGATATTTCAAATGACATTATCTTTTAACGTATTTTACATTAATAATAATGACGCATAATGATTTTAATGTGTGATAACTTTTTATTAATCAACCAATGATAAATATGTAATTGTCAGAACAATTCAGGTCCCAATTACACGGGACCTGCCATTCTGTACAAATGGATATGTGACAAATAAACCATTAATTACTACATGTACAGCTTACATGACTTGTACAGCATACATGTACAGTCTACATGTACAGTCTCCATGTACAGTCTAAACACCGTACTCGTCAAAGGTTGGCAGACCAAGTGTTGTGTCCACAACCGCGCTCGGGGGACAAATACACGACTGTAAAGTTTCTGGTCAGACGTTCTACGCCAGCGCCGACTGCGACTTTGCATACACATGTCAAGCGTCTAGTTCGGTCGGTAAAGTTTAATGTAATTCCATGTACATGTAGTTGGGTAACACAATCTGTGCATTACCTTGTATGTCAGGCATTGTCAGCTGAAGGAATGTTCAGGGCCACACTGTAGAAGCAGTGCTTAATCACTGAGTGGGCCACCCTGGCTAAAGAAAACAATAAAAAATAAATAAACGAATGGATAAACAAACAAAAAACAAATTCCCAATTTATCTGTCCGCAGCCCCTCCCACCATCCAGGCGACGTTTGGAGACTACATCCACGCCCGGTCCGGACAGACTTTCCAGCTGGACTGTATCGCTGAGGGGAACCCAAAACCTGCCGTCATGTAAGCCCAGATGCAATCTGCATCATGCTTGATTTTCAAGCTCCTTGAAATAAACTAATCATATATATACATATATACGGAAAATAAAGGAAATCCGCCAAAGCCTACCTTGAGCTTCGTGTATAGCCCCGAACACAAAAGACTGAAAACAGAAGAGTCACAGAACTCTTCTCCGAGAGTAAAGAGTGCTTTTGGCTGCTCTCCCAGGGGAAGAGGTAAGGGGACGGACGAGTGGAATTCTCTAAGAAGCCAAACTCTACTTGTATTTAAATTAGTCATATGCATAAACTTCCCTTCCTCCCAGGTGGAGGCGGAAGGGTACAGAGGAGTACTTTAAGAACCCGCTGGCGTTCTCTAAGGTGGAGTACACGGCTGAGGGCGCGTACGAGTGCGTGGCGTCCAGTCCGCACTTCCCGGAGGCAATCAAGGAGACGTACATAGATGTCAAAGGTACAGAATCTTCGCTGTTCCTATAGTTAAACTTAAACTATAGAGAAAATAGTTGGAAATACAGTTGCAACATTTAGCGTATTGACTTGAAAGGTATAGAATCTTCACGGTTGTACTTAAGAGACTAACTACTGTCTGTAACCCCAGGAAAGCCGGAAGTGGGCATTGGAACGTTAACAGAACACGTGTTCCATTTGGGGTCACCTACGGTTATTGGAACAGGAAGCGAGTTCCATTTGATGCCCGTATGCCATGGTATTCGGAACACATACACACACCTCCGGGAGGACTACCCGGGTTAGGGTTAGAGTTGGGGACTAACCATGTTGTTTGTAACGACAGGAAAGCCCGAAGTGGACCTGGAAGGCCCCCAGACCGTCAAGGCGGACTACCTGGGTTAGGGTTAGGGACTAACCATGTTGTTTGTAACGACAGGAAAGCCCGAAGTGGACCTGGAAGGCCCCCAGACCGTCCGGGCGGACTACCTGGGTTAGGGACTAACCATGTTGTTTCTAACCCCAGGAAAGCCGGAAGTGGACCTGGAGGGCCCCCAGACCGTCCGGGCACGGGAAGGTTCTACCGTGTCTCTGACGTGCCGAGTGACGGCCGACCCCCCCACAGACTACCCCGCCTGGTTCGCCAACGGACGGGAGGTCAGTCCGGAGGACAACGGGCTGCAGGGGTGGGAGGTCATCTACGAGACGGATCAGGGGAAGGTAGGAGTAAAAGAAATGAACGAACGAACGAACGAATGAATGAATGAATGACCAAACTGACAACGGGCGGAGGGGCCGACCAGCAGAAGGTAGGAGGTTTTGGGGATTGTTAAAGTCAGTGAGATCTGATGAGACTTTGAATCTCTTTGTTCCTTTTTCGTCTGGAGGCTGAAACTGTTGGGCAACCCAAAATTTGACAGATCGCTCTTTTAAATCATACTTTTCCATCTTGCATCAAATCCAACTCAAAAAAGGGAGCAAAAATCCAATTTTGGTCGCTGTGCACTTTAGACGCCATACTAACATTACAAGTGGAACAGGATTTTCCTTTCTTTTCAAATACGTTATTGTTAACCTATCTTGAAAAGAAAAGTCATTTGTACCCTTGGCAAGTTATAACGAACCTGTTCTCTCTCTCAGACGCGGACGACGCTGTTCTTCGGTAACGTGACGTCACGGCACGCGGCTGTCTACACCTGCAGGGCCACCACAAGTTCGGCTACGGCCAGAAAACCTTCGACATGCGCATCCAGGGTAAGGCTGACCAGAAAACCTTCGACATGCGCATCCAGGGTAAGGCTGACCAGAAAACATTCGACATGCGCATCCAGGGTAAGGCTGACCAGAAAACCTTCGACATGCGCATCCAGGGTAAGGCTGACCAGAAAACATTCGACAAACCTTCTGTTCCTTCCCAGACCGCAGTGACGAGCTGACCGTGCCGCTATGCCAGGGTCTGGACTACAACTCCACCCGCCTGCTAGACCCCCTCCCCCCCGCCCACATAAACACACACTGAGACGTTCCCTCTGTTCCTCCCCAGACCGCAGTAAAAGATGTGACGAGCTGACCGTGCCTCTGTGCCACTACAGGGTCTGGACTACAACTCCACCCGCCTGCTAGACCCCCCCCCTCCACATAAACACACATAAACACACACTGACACGTTCCCTTCTGTTCCTCCCCAGACCGCAGTAGAAAGTGTGATGACCTGACCGTGCCGCTGTGCCAGGGTCTCGACTATAACTCCACCCGCCTGCCCAACGCGCTCGGACACGCCACGCAGGAGCAGGTCGCCCGGGAGGCGCACCAGTTCTGGCCGCTCGTCGAGATAGAGTGCTCGCCTTTCTTCAGGTGTTGTTCTCTTCTGAAACTACAGACATAGACAATGTTGTTCCCTTCGTAACGGATCTAAAACAGACCTGCTTTCTGTGCAGCACATGCACCACTATGACAACAATGCCCTTGGCAGGGTGATAAATGTATACTATTAGAATATGCGTATTTTCCTGAGACAAACACCGTGGTTTTTCTCGGTTGAAATATTAATGTTGTCCGTAGGAGTTTCCTGTGCTCTGTGTTCGCCCCTCCATGTCACGAAGACAGCCCTGACGCCGTTCCACCATGTAAGGAGATGTGTGAGAGCAGCTACAGCAGCTGTGCGGAAATCCTGAGACAGTACGGCCTCAGCTGGCCGGACAGCATGAACTGTTCGCAGTTCCCGTCTTACTACGGAGACCAGGAGTGTAGCGGCTGGGCCCCCGAGCTGGACTGGACGCCGATGCCTGACACGGCGCCGCCCGTCGACGACAACGCTGTTCCGGAGGAACCGGAGCAGAAAATCTTCAACGATGAACAGTATGCCTTATTAGGTAAATGTTCTACGTCACATTCCTTAATATAGGGTTATTTACACGATTGTTTCAGGTTTCTTCTCCTGGACTAAGTGACCCACCCTGAGGTGCATACGGCGTCAGAATTCATGGACTTTTCCTATCGCCAACGAATAAACGACCGAGTCCACGAAGAACGCATGTTCCACTTGGGATCACCAGCGGCCATTGGAACAGAACGCGTGTTCCATTTTGGACCACCTATAGTCATTGGAACAGAACTCGATTTCCATTTGCGGCCACCCATGGTCATTGGAACAGAACGAGTGTTCCATTTGGGGTCACACATTGTCATTGGAACAGAACGCGTGTTCCATTTGGGGTCACTCATCGTCATTGGAACAGAACGCGTGTTCCATTTGGGGTCACTCATCGTCATTGGAACAGAAAGAAGCGTGTTCTATTTGGGGTGCGACCTGCGAGAGCTGGTGGATTCTATCGTCCTGATTTTGTTTTGTTGTTCCGTAGGGCGAGCCCTGCCGACCTGCGAACAGCTGGTTGACTGTAACCTGGACTGCGAGTACGGCCCCAAGTTTGACGAGAACCAATGCCCGATCTGCGAATGTGGAGATAACCCATGTAAGGTAGGGCAAAACATGTGCGCTTAGGTTATGCCATGACTCGATTTCCTCATATCTAGGGCAATATATATCTAGCACCCTACGCAAGAGAGATTATCTCAGACACAGACTTGTAGTAGATGGCGGTGAATGTTGGGTTTGAACGCTTGTTAGTTGTATTCAGAGGGAAACACTTGTCAGGGAGGTCCATAACTTTGCAGTCTGTGGTGGGAAGCTGGTGCTACAGAAGTACTTAGAGTCTGGGTAACGATTGCTTGTGAATCATGTTCACAGAACGTTCCGCTCCTGCGTTGCCAAAAATTACACTGTCCATCAAAACGTCTGTTTGTCCCACCAGGAGACGAGTTGTGGGGAGTACGAGGTGTGCGCGCTCCAGCCCATCCAGTGCCTCAGCCCGCCATGTTCNAGAGTCTCGCGAGATGTCAGTCCATTGTGACGTAAGTGGGAATAATTATATATTTCCACTCTCGCCAAGGTGATCGATTAAGGATTGGGTGGAAAAGACCTCGGCTACGCTACAGTGATCGGGTGCCTTAACCCCTGTCATAGGCTCACTCTTAAACCTCTTCCTCATTATCCCCCAATCCTTATCCTTCCCCATTCCTTACCCTCTCCTCTCCCATTCCTTATTCTAAGTGTCACGTAAGGCAAAGACACTCAGTAGGCCAAGACACGTAGACACACCATGAGAGGGTAGTCTTCTTTTCTTTTATTCAATCTCGATTTAAAGTCTGTGGAACTCGCCCGCCTGGGGCACAATTAATGAGTCCCCGAAGTGTAGTCACCGAGCCCTCGCTCGCAACAAGCTTGCCAGCAGTTCTTGTAGTACTGGCCGTGGTCCGTAAAAGGAGCGGGGCCCGTTCCAGACCCATTTACCCACTGGTAGCCGACACCTTCTCTTCCCAGAGTCTCAGTGGATCAAGGGCTACTTACGCCTGCTTTCCAACACTGGGATGATGACGGTATACGTGATACTGGTATCCTGCATACACACATGTTTCTAAAGCAATTCAAGCTTATCTCATCCTCAAGTGTACCCCAAACTCTCGGGTACGGGTACATCTCCTTCGGTTTCTCTAATCTAAAACGGTAACCCTTCCGTTTACTCAAATATGTCGGCTACCTTAAGTAAATTTAGGTCTGGAGGGGTCCCTCGCTCGCTTCCCGGGCCACGAGCCGAAGCTATATGGCGGCGGCAAACCTATTGAGGAAAGCACGCACGGTCCACGAGTTAGGGCTTAGCCAGCCATAAAATGCCAAAACTAGGTAGCTATCTCAAATACATACAACCGAAAAATTGTACTACTCAAAGCGCCTTCCAATGCGTTTACGATACCTGTACGCATCTCCATACGACGTACAAAACAAAAAAAAAATAGACCCATTGCAAGGCCAAACCAAAAGATCAATGGCTAAAGGAAGACGACCGAAAACTAGTCCCACCGTCTCCCCTTCTGCTGTAGATAGCCTTTATGGAAGACGACCGAAAACTGTCCTATTGCCACCCTCTGCTATCGGTTGTCGCTATGAAAGACGACCGAAAGCTGCTCTACTGCCTCTCCTCCTGCTGTCGGTAGTCGCCAAGTGACCAAAAGACGATCAGAAGACTACCGAAATCTGCCCTCCATCTCCAACCCTACTTGAGGTGTCGGAACCTCCTCGCATAGGGAGAGCGAAACTATTCAGTTTCCCACTCTAACTCGAGATTGTCCAACAACCTCTATCCCCGGAAGGCCGATAAGCCATAAAACTGTCCAATAGTTTACGGCAATAAATTTTGAGACTGTCCGACGGCCTCTACCACTACTGTACTGATACCTGACACTTACCTACGGTTTCTCGCTTCGAGATTGTCCAATAACCTCTATGCACCAGCAAAGCGATCTGCCATAAAACCGTCTAACAGTTTTACGCACCAAATTCTGAGACTGTCCGACAGTCTCTAACACTTCTGGTGCACGAAACTGTCCCACAGTTTCTCGCTTCGAGATTGTCCAACAACCTCTATCCAGGGGAAGCGATATGCCATAATAAAACTGTCCGACAGTTTTACGCTCCCAATTCTGAGACTGTCCGACAGTCCCTACCACCACTGATACACGAAACTGTCCTACAGTTTCTCTCCTCGAGACTGTCCGACAATCTCAGAGAAGCTCCGCCAACACCCAAAGGAAACTAACAAGAATTGTCCCACAGTCTTTCCCCGAAATAGGCCTCAGGTTGTTCCACTATCACCCCGATGCCAAACCGTTGATTATCCGACAATCTAGCAAACGCAGGGCCAAACGGAAAAAATGACCAAAATTTCACAAACATTTCCTTCCGAGGAAACGAGCCATCAACGCTTAAAACACACGAAAAGGGGAAAAATACGAGACTGTAAAGAAGTGTGAAACGCCCCGAGGTACACACACGTGATTCCGGGGCGGACACACGCAAAAATAAGGTCGTAAAATGACGGAGGCAAAACTCCTACCCACGGCGTCTCTGCGTTCCGTGCCGTGACTCCCTGCGGGAATGGTCAGTGCCGACAACGCGGAACTGGATCCCGAGAGAGCTGTCACTATCTTCGGGATGCCTGGTCGCTCTATCCGGTAGCAGGGGTTGCTGCAGCGCTACCGCCGGGTCACACTCCCGTTCCGCCCGGGGCGGCAAGACGCTCCGCCCGGGGCGGGAAATCCCTCTCACTGACCGGGCTGTACACGGCCGCTGGCAGGCTTGCATCCGCGGGCTGGTTTCCACTCGTGGTCTGCGTTGTACTCGCGTTCGGGGTCGCCACAGTGTTCCTCCGGGAGTCTGCAACTGTGAAATAGAAAACACGTTACCCAGAGGAAGAGGGATATAGCACACGTACTTATCTACCGAGGCATGCACGTGCGCTGCCACGTCGACAAATCTTTATCTAGCCTGCGCTCCAAAATACCACCAAACAAACCTGTTTCCTCAAGACACTACCACAACAGTACCTTCTAAACCAGGTAACCAACGCGGGAATTCTGCATGGAACCAGAATAATGCTGCCACCGCCGGAATCACAGAAAAATGGCCGGATCAACCGGAGCTAAAACCACACGCTACCTTCGCTGGGGCTGGCTTCACAAAACTGATGGAGTATGAGGGGTTGGTCACATGGCCTGACATCTCGCTCAACAAGAGTCTCGCGAGATGTCAGTCCATTGTGACGTAAGTGGGAATATTGTAAACACTGTCTCTCAGCTACAGAGGGTCATTGCTACACATCAACCAGAAGTACTCTACAAACAGTTATGTCCTGTCTCCTACCACCACAGCCACAACACACGTCATGCTAGCCGAAACACATACTGTTTAATGAAACCCAAAACGAACGCCCTGAAGAAGACTTTCATTTATATTTATTTTATTTATCTATTTATGAAGATTTACCACATTTGTGGAAGGATTGACATAACAGGTGACTACCACCTTTTCAAAGATGTCAACCCCGAGACCAGGCTGTAAGGTTTGAACCACTCACACCGGGAAGGTCCCCTACTCTTTTCGATAAGTGCGGTGGGTTCTTTAACGTGCGTGGGATGTGACTCTCCCAAACACGGGACCTCCATTTTGCGTCCTATCCGAGGGACGTCCCTAGCCAAAGCTAGGTACTCATTTTCACCTGAGTGAAGTGAGGAAAGTCGTGTAAAGTACCTTTCCCAAGGGTACAACGTCGGGGCGCATGTTCGGACTTGTTCGGGTACGACCCGGAATCGAACCCGGGTCTCCCCGCTTCGTAGTCCAGTGATGTACCACTACACCACACGACGCCACTAGATCCTTAACAGTTTGGAACACTTTGCCACATGAGGTACAAGCAGCAACTAAGAGTAGGTTTAGGCAGAAGTTGTTAGAGCACATGCGTACATAGGCACATGATGATAGGCACATGTGATGTTACTTTTAAATGTTAAGTCTAATTTTGTATGTAAATAATGTTGTAATTTTGATGTGGTGTATTTGTATTATTGTATTTTAACTCCAGGAAGATTAGCTACATACTTGATTTTGTATGTCTTGTGTGTCGCTAATGGAGTTTAATAAAGCACACATAAAGCACACATAATAAACGACCGAGTCCACGAAGAACGCATGTTCCACTTGGGGGTCACCAGCGGCCATTGGAACAGAACGCGTGTTCCATTTTGGACCACCTATAGTCATTGGAACAGAACTCGAGTTCCATTTGCGGCCACCCATGGTCATTGGAACAGAACGAGTGTTCCATTTGGGGTCACTCATCGTCATTGGAACAGAACGCGTGTTCCATTTGGGGTCACTCATCGTCATTGGAACAGAAAGAAGCGTGTTCCATTTGGGGTGCGACCTGCGAGAGCTGGTGGATTCTATCGTCCTGATTTTGTTTTGTTGTTCCGTAGGGCGAGCCCTGCCGACCTGCGAACAGCTGGTTGACTGTAACCTGGACTGCGAGTACGGCCCCAAGTTTGACGAGAACCAATGCCCGATCTGCGAATGTGGAGATAACCCATGCAAGGTAGGGCTCAGGTTATGCCATGTAAGGTAGGGCAAACCGTGTGCTTAGGTTATGCCATGACTCGATTTCCTCATATCTAGGGCAATATATATCTAGCACCCTACGCAAGAGAGATTATCTCAGACACAGACTTGTAGTAGATGGCGGTGAATGTTGGGTTTGAACGCTTGTTAGTTGTATTCAGAGGGAAACACTTGTCAGGGAGGTCCATAACTTTGCAGTCTGTGGTGGGAAGCTGGTGCTACAGAAGTACTTAGAGTCTGGGTAACGATTGCTTGTGAATCATGTTCACAGAACGTTCCGCTCCTGCGTTGCCAAAAATTACACTGTCCATCAAACGTCTGTTTGTCCCACCAGGAGACGAGTTGTGGGGAGTACGAGGTGTGCGCGCTCCAGCCCATCCAGTGCCTCAGCCCGCCATGTTCCCCTCTGCCGTACTGCAAACCGGTACCCTTCAGCACAAGTAAGCAAACATATGCCGTACTGCAAACCGGTACCCTTCAGCACAAGTAAGCAAACATCAATCAGTTGATCCGTGCCTGAGCATGGTTCTGGATGAAGCACAGTTCTGGATACTTATGGACTATTCAGAACCGTGAATGAGCATGGTTCTGGATAAAGCACGGTTCTGGATGCTCGTGGACTATCCAGAACGGTGCTCGAGTATGGTTGTTGTTGTTGTGGATAAAGCATTGTCCATGGATACAGCATCTTATTGTCTCTTCTCGCCGATTTCAGACGCCGAAAGGCAGAGCATTTACTGGTTGGACCTGGAGCCGTCCAGCAAAGGGCTGGACTCGGTGGACCAATTGGAGCGGTTCTTACAGATGCTGGAGGAGCACAACGCCACGATTTTACACGCGATGAAGGTGTGGTGCATGTTTTACCACCTGCGATTGGCTGAAACCTTTGATTGTATTTCTGACGCTCTCGATATTTCCCCGGAAATGACCCTCGTAATGACCCTTCACCTCTGTTGTTTCAGATACCCTCGTCATCATTTATGGCAGGTTACGTTTTTTTTGTTTCCAGTCCTATGATTTGATTGATTGTAGAATGTCACTATCAGGTGTAACCAAGTGCAAGAAACGCAACATTTCCGTTGTGACAATGTATCAAGCCCCCGTCTCAAATTCAGCCACTTCCCCTGACCTTGCTCCCGGCCCCTCCTCAGCCAAGGCTGACGCTGGTTTGGGAGTACTCTAGTCTCCTCAGATCACATCCAACCACAATATCTCTTTACTCACTTCGATGTTTGAAGATTAATAGTCGGTAGGAAACCGCCCAACCACAGGTGACCTTGCTCATGACTTACTCCCAGCCATAGTCTGGACAAGGTCGGGAGGCCATAGTCGGCTATATGTGATGGGGTCTTCAGCCAAATACTATCACATTCTCCCTGGAAATACGTCCCTTTCCGTCCGGTCCATACAGTTGTACAAATGAACTCGGCGTCCACAGCAGACGTGGTGACGGTCCTGTGTTCTGGACTTGTATCTAGTTCTGGCATATTCCTATTGAAACACGTCACTGTTACAATTGTGCAGGTGAACTCGGCGGCCACATCAGACGTTGTGACGGCCCTGTTTTCTGGACTAGTATCTAGTTGTAATAGTTTCCTATTGAAATACGCCCCTCTCACGTCTCCCACAGTCTCCCACAGCAGACGTGGTGACGGTCCTGTGTTCTGGACTTGTATCTAGCTCTAGCATATTCCCACTGAAACTCGCCCCTCTCACGTCTCCCACAGTTGTACGTGTGAACTCGTATCTAGTTCTGGCACATTCCTATTGAAACACGTCCCTCCCACAGTCGTGCAGGTGAACTCGGCGTCCACAGTAGACGTGGTGACTGCGCAGGACCAGAGCGGCGAGCGGCTGATGGTCTCGGTCCGGAGTTTCCTCATGGTGCCGTACGAGGACTACTGGAGGGAGGTTCGTTAATTTCATTTGTTTGTTTCACACAACAGGTAAACCACCTTTAAGCATGACACACCGGTTTTCTACATGTAACTACAGTCTGCGTAAAACCGGACTGTCAGGTTTGAAGCACTCACACCGGGATGGACCCCAACTCTTTACGATAAGTGCGGTGGATTCTTTAACATGCTCGAGGTGTGGCTCTCCTTAAACATGGGACCTCCGGCTTTTCGTCCCATCCGAGAGGACGTCCCTAACCGAAGCTAGGTACTCATTTATACCTGAGCCAATTGATGAAATATGTGTAAAGTGCTCTTCCCAAGGACACAATAGTTAGGGACTGTTAGGGATTCGAACCCAGAACCCTTAGACTCTGAGTCCGCAACCCTAACCACATCCTGCCTTGCCGCCAGTCGTTCGTGTTCCGGGACCAACCGCTTTACGTCCTATCCTAGAGGACGTCCCTAACCGAAGCTAGGTACTCATTTACACCTGAGTCCAGTGAGAAAGTAGATGTTAAAAGTGAACAGCCCTAACCACATTAATCCCGCCTTGCCGCCAGGTGTTCGGGTTCCGGGACCAGCCGCTGGAGGACGATGCTGATCATGAGGAGCTCATCTCTACCAGCACCGACACCGAGACGGCCTGGTACTACTTCGTGGACTTCATCCTCAAGCGCACAGGTGAGAAAACCTTCGTCCCCAAACGCACAGGTGAGAAAACCTTCATCCTCAAACGCACAGGTGAGAAAACCTTCATCCTCAAGCGCACAGGTGAGAAAACCTTCCTCAAACGCACAGGTGAGAAAACCTTCATCCTCAAACGCACAGGTGAGAAAACCTTCCTCAAACGCACAGGTGAGAAAACCTTCCTCAAACGCACAGGTGAGAAAACCTTCATCCTCAAACGCACAGGTGAGAAAACCTTCCTCAAACGCACAGGTGAGAAAATAAGACGCACAGGTGAGATAATAAAACGCACAGGTGAGATAATAAAACGCACAGGTGAAAAAATCTTCGTCTTAAAGGTCTTCGATGTACACAACTTAGACAACGGCTTAATGATGCTGATGATCATTGCATGTGTCGCTTATGTCCGCTTTTCCTTCCTCCCATGATGTGTCCTTGCGGTGTGTTACAGACATGCCGAAACCGTGCCAGATCCTAACCCTAACCCATTCAGGCATGAACCTAGGCACGTGCACGGTTCTGGATACGATAAGAAAAAAATCCAGAACCGTGCCGGGAGCAAATCTAAGATGAGACTATCCAGAATCGTGCATGAAGGCACGGTTCCGGATCCGATCCTTGCCGGTTGTTGCAGACATGCCGTCCAGCCTGTCACTGGGACCAGCTGCGTGTTTAACGTCAGGACGGCGTGTTTAACGTCAGGACGGCGTGTTTAACGTCAGGACGGCGTGTTTAACGTCAGGACGGCGTGTTTAACGTCAGGACGGCGTGTTGTTAACGTCAGGACGAGCCGGGGTGTTGCATGTTTAACGATCCCGATCCTTGCCGGTTGTTGCAGACATGCCGTCCAGCCGGTATGTTTAACTCCTTGCCGGTTGTTGCAGACATGCCGTCCAGCCGGTATGTTTAACGATCCTTGCCGGTTGTTGCAGACATGCCGTCCAGCCGGTATGTTTAACGATCCTTGCCGGTTGTTGCAGACATGCCGTCCAGCCAGTATGTTTAACCTTTGCCGGTTGTTGCAGACATGCCGTCCAGCCAGTATGTTTAACAATCCTTGCCGGTTGTTGCAGACATGCCGTCCAGCCGATATGTTTATGATCCTTGCCGGTTGTTGCAGACATGCCGTCCAGCCGGTATGTTTAACGATCCTTGCCTGTTGTTGCAGACATGCCGTCCTGCCGGTATGTTTAACCTGCCTTGCCGGTTGTTGCAGACATGCCGTCCAGCCGGTATGTTTAACGACCCTTGCCGGTTGTTGCAGACATGCCGTCCAGCTGCCGGTATGTTTAACCCTTGCCTGTTGTTTCAGACATGCCGTCCAGCCGTTATGATTAACGACCCTTGCCAGTTGTTGCAGACATGCCGTCCAGCCGGTATGTTTAACCTGCCTTGCCGGTTGTTGCAGACATGCCGTCCAGCCGGTATGTTTAACCTTTGCCGGTTGTTGCAGACATGCCGTCCAGCCGGTATGTTTAACGAGAGCGCCACCTAACGATCCTTGCCGGTTGTTGCAGACATGCCGTCCAGCCGGTTGCGGGACCAGCTGCGGATGGTGAAGACTCTGACGCAGG